GATACTTCACTTAGTAGAATGGGTTCCAGCTCTATCCAGGATAATACAAGAAGTGCTATATCACCATTGTTTTTTGTGGCTGAGTAGAACTCCATGGTATAAAGTCTGGCATCTGGACTGGTAGCACGTTATTGTGTTACATTTTCAAAAGTGTTTTATTTGGCATCTCAGTCCCAAATAAAAACTGAAAAGCTTGAGCTAAAAAAGAATACCCTGTATATCCCAAAATGACGAAGACTGGCTAATGAAATAACCTTTACTAATAACACCTGCTAGAAAATTAAAATATAACCAAATAATTTGTACCATTGTTGAAGAGTGTTTACAAGAAGGGTTAAGCTGTTACAATGAAGAAATTTTCCCTCCTTTTTTCTATTTTGAATATATAACTCCAGCCTCTGAATTTTAGGAAACACAAGTTTGGTATCATTTGTAAATAGTGCTAAAGCCTTATTTTTTACTTCTTACATGGCTGTTTCCTGTTAAAAATGAGCACCAGCAACAAGTCTGCAGAAATTCTTTTGAACTAAATTGGGACACCTTCAAGTAGAAGCAGCACATTTTTTTTCAAACTTTAGATGAATTTTACACAAAGTTTAAAATAATAATAGTAGTAGTGATGATGCTCATGATGACAACAATGATATTAGCAACACTTTAACTTACTGACTGCCTACCATGTTCCAGGCACTTCTGATACATTTTCTCTGATACTCACAATGACCTTAAAAATGAAATATATCTCAGTGTACGGAGGAAAAAAGTGAGACTCGGGGTAAGAAAACTGCCTAAAGCCCTACCAGTAGGAAGTGACAGACCTGAGACTAAGTGTAACTACTCTCAGTGTTTCAAAGGGAAAGAAAAATGCATGTGTGCATTTATTTGAAAGAAAAGAATGATTAAGCAAATGTGGCAAAATTTATAAAGCAGTGATTCTACTAAAGGGTAAAGCTCAGGAATTCTTTCTACTATTCTTAAAACTTTTTGTTAAGTTGGTAATTACTTCAAAACGAAATTAATAAAAAATCTCTGTTTGGGGGGGGCAGAACACTCATTTTACCAGAAATTTCAGGACTCTGCCAAGAGTTATCATTACTCAGTGACTCAGCAGATCCAAGTCTTTCATTTCCTAATTAATGCTGTCACTGTTCAATAAGAACGTCCTTATTAAAAGCTAGTGAATAACGGAGAGACTTCAGAGAGTTTACAATAAATAAGAGAATATTTTGTTTAACTTTCGAAGATTACGAATAAAATCAATAATTATAAAATAATTTTTGAAAATAATAGCAACTTTCATAATATGGTTAATTCAACATTTTGGGGCAGACATTATTCAAAGTTATATTTCAAAAAGAATTTCTTCTTTAAGTAGACATCAATGGTCTTTTTCTCTAGGAGTTCTTAAATAAGTACCTAATTATATAGGATTATATAGATATCACAGGAAATTGATAGTGAATATACTTATTTTAAAAAAACTATTCCACATCTCAGGGTCAACAAATTAAAGTTTTGCTTCTACTTAGAAATAGTAAAACTCATACTGAGAAGACACCAACAAATATTTTTGCCCAAGTACTTGTTATGAAAATTTAAAAAGAAATGGATACATATATTTCTAGTGAGCACAATACTTTGAAAACATACTGGTATACCATGTAGACTTTTTAAAATATCTGTTGACGGTACAGCATAACTTCTTAAAAAAAAAAAAACCAAAAAAAGTTTTCACTAATTTACACAATATCTTTATGGTGGGCCAAGAATATTCTCTACAATAAGTATTGGAGGCTTATCATCATATCACACCTTCATAAAGTCTAAATGAATTCCTGTTTCACAACTATCTCATCAATCTGATTATCAGAGTAGAAGAAATCATTTAAAAATTGCAATATTTTCATTTAACAAACTACAAATATACTGCTTAATAAATGCCACACACTATGCAGCACTTAAAAATATTCATTACTTGACTTACTTTTCATTCTTAAATATGAAATAAAAGGAGCCATTAATAGCTTTTCTTTTTTTTAAACTAAGAGATCAAATCATAATGACAAAGTTTCGTATCTCAACTGATTAATTTGAAGACACAATGAAAAGTCTTCCAGTCTGTAGTAGTATTAAGGATCAGTTTGTAGTAGTATTAAGGATGAATAATTTCTGAGTTAGCCTTATTCTGTTTTTAAGATAATCAATATTTCTCATCACAGTTCAGCTAAATAGAATAAGTGCCTTTTTGTTAACTTTTTTGAAATTTATAGCTAAAGTTAAAATTTTCACTTCAATGATATCTACTAATAATTTTACCTAAATACTCAAGTGAATTTGAGTTCTAGGTTCTTAAAGTACTAATTATATACATTTGTGGAGGAAAAAAATCCTTCAAATATGATAGATAAGCAACATTTACCTGCTTTGTCCTGAACAGCAACTGCTCCTTTCCCCACGACTGTTGTCATGGGTTGTGGCAGAACTGTGGCAACAGAAGTGGCGGTTGCTTCTCTGACAATTCCAGAATTCTGAACTCCTCCACTAGTGGTGCTCACATTCACAGTTCGTTTGTTCACTGCTGTGGGCTTACTGGAACAGCCTTTATTTAAACTTGACTGAAATGTAATGGAATATTTAAAAGCTCAGGTTACTAATGTTTCATACTA